TGTATAAGATAGATAATAATATTACTGAGTTTTGTTGGATCATTGAACAGAACTGTTTGCAGTCTCGCTGTTTGAATGTCCACTTTATATGCTTTAATCTTGTAACTTGAACAAATATTTCTAAGACGACAATATGTAATCCATTAACTAGTGATTTCCTGTTTATTTTTTTTTCTGAAATTCTGTATAACTTGTACCCTTTTTCTGCTTTTTTTCCCTTTTTCTCCTTAAATAAAAAAAATACTGAAGAAGATGGGACATAAAAAATGAAAATACTAATGACAATGACAGGAGAGTTGAAAGATTTGCATTGCATTTAAAATATCTTACTGTTGTACAATGTTGCAATTTAAAAGTTCGTTTTTCTGGGGGCTGAAATGTAGCTCAGGGGCAGAACATGTGCTTAACAAGTATGAGGCCCTAAATTCAATCCCTAGCACCAAAAAACATAAAACAGTTCTTTCTATTGAAACAAAATCAATCTCTTTCCACACCTGTAATTTTTATCTACTGCTTCTCTTTCTCTCTCTTAGAATTATGTAGACTAAATCAATTTGATGTATTTGAAAGTTTTAGTTATCTGGTTTTCTGGAAGACAGACTATAGAGTTAACCATGACATCAGGGGAACCCAGTTAGGAGACTCAGCTTTTATTTAACAAGAAAGCAGTGATGATGGTCCAAATTAGCACAGTATCAATATGGCTAGAATTGAACAATATTTCAAAGGCAGACCATATAGAAATGGCAGCCAAAAGGATATGAGAAGTAAGGAGAAAACAGGAGCTGAAGACATTCCTGGTCAGATTGTTTGGGAACATGATGATACTGTACCAAGATAAAGAATGTAAAAAGAAAACAGCATATCTGATTACTAGATAAAATTCCATTTGAAGATGAGTTTCAGGTATCAATAGAATATTTATCTATCTATATATAGGTATATACTGATGAAAAGATCAATATGAAGTCAGTGAAACAAAACCATTACGGTGAATTAAATGGCAAAAATTAAAGAACACATGAATGAAGTAGAAAATAAAAACAATTAGAAGTAATCAGAATAATCAAAAGACAACTTTTTAAAGAACAGTACAAATATTCAATTTTGGTAAATATAATTTAAAAAACCAAATGGTACAAAAATAATTAGTGCCAGATATAAAAGAGGAAAATAATTACAGGGACAGAGAAGATTTTTAAAATTATGAGATCTTACAAATAACTCCACATCAAAAATATATGAATAACTAAAAGTGAAAGAGAGAAAGGTCAGATATTCATATTTTTTGGTATGAAGTTATTCATGGAAGTTTTTTCGTGTATGTTTTATTTTATTTCTCAGTGCTGAAGACTGAACCCAGGGCCTCATGACGCTAAGCATGCATTCTACCACTAAGTTACACCCCTAGCCTAGAAGTTCTTTTATAATCAAAAACACAATGCTCATCTGTTTCTATAGTTATTTTCCCCTTTTTAGAGAAAAATACAGAAAGTACATCTCTACAAACTTTGGAGTAAACAAAAATTTCTTAAATAGTAACCCAAACTGCTGACTATAGCTGAAAAGATGGTAAGTTAAATTAGAATTAAGAACTATTGTTCATAAAACATCTCATTAATAGAATAAAAGGCAATTTATAAGGTTGAAGCTATGTACTATATACATGCCTGAAAAGGACTTATATGCAGAACAAAAGTACAAAACTCCTATGAATCAAAAAGAATGAAAGATAATCCAATTTAGCAAACGGTCAACAATTTGGATAACTTCATAAAAGAAAATATCCAACGTGACCTATAATCATACAAAAATCAGGGAAATGCAAATTAAAACTAAAATGACATACTGTACACACACAAGAATGGTTAAAATTTAAAAAGATGAAAAATGCCAAGAATTGGTGAGGTAAGAACATGAAGCAATCATAACTGTCATATATTACTGATAGGATTGTAAATTAGCACAACTGCTTTAGAAACTGTTTTGTGATATCTATTAAAGCTAAATGTACATGTAACCATTTTACCCAATAATTCTATTCCTAGTGATGCCATTCCCACCAGATATATTTATATATTTCATTAAACACACGTTCCAGAATGTTCAGAGTTGTACTGCTCATAATAGTCAAAAACTGAAAATTACCCATCTGTACATCAACAATAGATTGGATAAATTGTGAGAATGGTCTAGAACATGTAGAAACATGGGAAACTATCTTATAATGTTGCTTGAAAAGATAGTCTATATTCTACAATTCCACCTCTACAAGATGAACAGGTGAAACTAACCAATGCTAGTATAAGTCAGATCAGTGATATTTTTGTGGAACAGAATAGTTACTGCAAAATAAGATTAGACCTCTGGGGAAGCTGATAGTATATTTTACTTGGATCTGATTGCAAACTTCGTATTTATCCAGTAGTGTGGGGACAAGGTGTGACACGATACCCAGAGAATGCAATTTAAGAATGCTCTCCTCTTGGTGCCTCACCCTTCTCCCAGCCCTAAACTTTGTGAATATTTATTGAGCTACATCATTGTGATACATATATTTTCTGTATGTATATTATACTTAAATTTAAAAATGTTAAAGGGATCCGGTCTACCTTATTTTACAAATGAAAATAAACCCTTAAAAATCTAAACATAAAAGAAAGCTTTAAAACTTTTAGAATAAAATATAATAGAGTATTAATGTTTTTAGGCAGAAAAGGGTTTCTTAAATATATCTAAAAACATATTAAAGAAAAAGATTAGCCTACATTAAAATTAAGAACTATCAAAAGACCTCTTAAAGAAAGTGAAAAAACCACAAACTTGGAAAAAATATTGCAACATAAGTAAGTGAAAAAGAATGATTATTTTGAATATTTTAAAAAATCTATGAGGAAAAACATGAATAACCTAATACAAGATGCATAAAATACTTGAACAGCTATTTTATATACAAGAAAACCAGAACTGTCAATGAAAATATTCTCAAACTTCCTAATAATCAAGGAATTTCAAAACAAATTATGCAGTATTAATATTTCATATCCAGAAAACTTGGACAATAGTAAGTGTTGGTAAGAATGTAGGAAATTTCAGTACTCAGGAGGCTGAGGGAAGAGGTTCACAAGTTCAAGGTCAACCTGAACATCTTTGTGAGATCCTATGTCAAAATAAAAAAGAGATGGGGATACATCTCAGTGGTAGAGTGCCCCAGGATTCTGTCTGGTACAGTAGAGAAAAAATAAAACAGCAATGGAAATGAAAAAATAACAACCACACACAATGGATGAATCTCAGTTTTAATGATTCTGCAAAAGACTCAATGATAAAAAAAGAAACAAGGAAGAATTATCATAAAACTCAGTAGATGGTTACTGTTAGAATAAAGTGGTGGACAACAAGGAAGAGGGTGGTTTCTAGGTAAGGGATAATGTTCTATCTCTTAGCCTAACTGAATGGTATATAAATGCTTTTATTATTTATATTGTACATATTACTTTTACAAATTGTATGACACATGGCATATTTAAAAATAAAAGAATTTTTAAGACAATAAGGTAATGATCCTATATGTGTATATATGTGTGTGAATGTATGTTATGTTTCATGAAGGAATAAAAATAGGAATTTTTGGTGAGAAAATGTTACTAACACTTCACTAGATTCACTAAATTCTCCAATAAGATTGGCTTGGCTAGGAGAGGAACTTGAATCAACTATTAGTTTACCATAAAATATAGATCTTTTTAATACAGTCTCCACTAAATATATGCTTGGAAAGTATTATCGCATGCCTTATTTATTCTATCAATTGAACTATCCCTTCTCAGGCTGACTTGCTTATGTTTCATTTGGCAAAAGAGAAAGAAACTCTTAATTTTTTAAGGATAATAATCCAGTTGATACATGCTTATTTTTTTAACTTTTATTTTTTAGTCTATCTTAGCTATATCTTCCTCAAATAGAATCAAAAGAAGAAATTGTAGCAAATCTAAAACCATTTTTGTGTCTGACATTGTGAAATACTAAAAATCAAAAAAGCCTTCTTGTTGACATTAATTGAATTAAAACTAGGACCTCTTTTTAATGTATTAAACATAACACAGAGTTAAAGATCCAGAAGGAACCTCTAAAAATTGTCTAGTACAGCCATTGTCAAGTAGGACTCAGACTATCTTAGGTAAATAAGTTATCAACCTAATCTTAATATATGTCCTGAAAAAATTTTACAGCATCCTTTCCCAACAAAGAGTCTGAATTAATTAATTAGTTCTCAGAACTCTTTTTTAATAAACAAAGCTAGCATACAGGAAACATTACTATACAGAAAAGGCCAATTATTGCCTAGAGATTTTCTTAGTCACAAAGGTGCCCTAGTAAGTAGCCAGCTAACACTTAAGTATCTGTACAAACAGCAAAATAAAGAGCTCAGAGTATTGCTCGTTCAGCCCCAATGGCTGCAACCTCACCTACCTACTGGCTTTCCCCAGTGATCTGGTCTTAAAGCTTATATCTCTTAACATACATGACAATTGATGATCACTTTGTTTCTACATTGACTTGGGTTAATCTATAAACTTTTTCTTTCCCAATTCCTTTCCACTCAATTACTCCAGCAATCAAGAGCTGAATTGTATACTTCTATGCAGTATGAATAGACACTTAAAATATTACACAGTCTTAAAAATATGTTATTTATAAATGAGAAGAAGAAACTTTTAAATTTTCTAATTTGTGGGTAACTTTAATAAAATATATAATTGGGGAATTTTTTTTCCCTCTAGTCATAAACAAGTTCATCTAACAACATATACTTCTTTCTTGAAGGCTGTACTTTTTTAGACTAAAAATTCCTTGACATCAGGGACTAGTTCTGTTTCAGTTTTTATACATGGCACGCTCCATTGGACTTTGTTACTGTGACATGACCTGTATATGAAATGAAAAATGTCAACTGTATTTAACTAAAGCAATGGAGGATCACTAAAACTTGGCCTTACTTGATTGCTGCTTTCCTCCTCTTCCTCATCACAGTCTAGGCCCTGATGAGCAATCTCAGTAGTGCTGTTCTCCAGAAAGAGATTATTCTCCAAATCAGACACTCTGGAGGCCTCTGTTGTGACTTTCACTTTCATGCTATGAAAGCCAGTGGAGACCAATCCCACTTGCAGGTTGACGGGGTCTCCCTCAAACAGCAGGAAGTGTGAGTTCACTCCCTCTTTAAAACCCGGGGGTTGGTAGTCATGTGGGGTCACTGCAAAATGAAAAGGGCAAAAAGCCATAAAAATTGTTTTCAATAGAATAGATCCAATCAATATTTCATATGTAACAGGTATCTTTTTTTTTTTTTTTTGAGACAAGGTCTCTCTATGCATTTCAGACGGATCTTAAACTCAGTATGTAGCCTAAGCTGGTCTCTAACACAGTGGTCCTGCTATCTCAGCCTCCCAAGAGCAGGGATTAGGGTACGTGCCACAAGTCCCGGTTAAAGAAAGAATTTGACCAAAGGACACCACTTACCTTCCTTATAGTAATGGAGTTTCATAGTAAGTATAACATCATTAGGAAGGGGTCCAAGGTTTTGCATTAATATGTACAATTTACGAATCAATAGAACACTGGCTTTCTTAATATCTTCACTGTTTGTTCCACTTTCAAAGCTTGTATTACTACTATAATCACAGAGAAAAATGGCATACTTTATAATCACATACAATATTGGCAACTTATTTTTAAAAGAATAAAACTTTTAACTATATGAGCAAATAAATATAAATATCAGGACATTTTTGAGACAATTTTTAGAATGTAAATTAAGACAGTGATTGTACTTTTCCAATGCATACACAAAGGATTTGTAAATAGCAAATTCCCCTGAAGCATTTAAAAATGACCTTTTTAAAAAATTTGGTTTACAAATTACCACATGCCATAATAATGAGAACAATGGATTTGCAATTACATGACCCAGGATCTAATACCAGTTCTGCAGTTAACTACCTGAATGACCTCAGTTAAGTCATTTAGGCACACTCTAAATTGGTTAGCCTGTATGTGACATAAACGTACAGATATTTCTATAGCACTCCAAGCATAAAATGACCTTCTAGCTCTGTGCCTATCTGCCATCTAATTATCTCTCAAAAACATCCTGTCCTCACTCTTCTATGAATACCTGCTTTTCTTACTGTCCATGTGGCAAAACATTCTCCATATAATACTACCAAAATAATATTCTTCATAGGAAAATCTGTTCATATCACCTTTTTGCTTAAAATTATACTATTACATTCATTATCCTTCAAATACACAGATGATATGTGTACAATACTTTTCATGTCCAGTCAACCCCTTACCTTCACCTGCAGCTGCTACCCAGTGTCCTCTCAACCATGTGTATTTTTATACGGTGTTCACTTCATTTGTATTGTGCTTTTCCACTTTTCTTCTAGAATCTCTCACTTTGTGCTTTAATATCTAATTTATATACTTCATGGAAGCATCACCATCAACCCTGGACCAGAGTTCCCTCTAGACTGTGAGTGGCTCTTTTATTTCTATAATACTGAGTTTGGTATCCAGCTACTCTGTAAACCTTTGTTGAATTAATGAATGAACAAAAAAGTTGGACTTGGACTAAATTACCTCTTAATTCTAAACCACTGTTAATTCCCTCCAAAGGTTTCTTCCCCAAGTAGTCTCACATTTGACTCGTTTTCAGGAAGTACTTGACTGCATTGTATTTACACAGTGCATTACACATAGTAAGCGGTACTGAAAAATAATTCTAAATAGTTGAACTGTTGGGTTTGTTTCTCTAATTTTTGAAAGCAGTATGAATTCATAAACCAAATATTTATTAAGTGAACATATTAGTTCCTCTATCAATTTCAGAAAACTTAAAGTCTTGTCCACCAGGATTTAACTAATTTGAATGTATTTAACTAAAAAGTGAAGGGCTCTAAAGCCACGTAGCTAATGGAATCCTCCAGCATACTTAAGTAAAATCATATTCAAGACTCATTTAAATATATGCTTAACTTTGGTTTCTAAGAAATTGAAATATGCATTCATTACCTTCTCCTCTGTTTGGTGTCTGAAAGATGTGGCCATTTCCATTTTACTGAAAACATGTATGATATGTTCTATATAATCTGTAAAGTGCTATACAAATATTAATTAATAATGGCTAATATTTTCATTCTCCTTTCTGGTACTCACTTTTTCTTTACAATTGAAATAAGAGGAAAAATAAGGAAGTAAGTCTTAGAGAGAAATCCTCAAGATCCTCAGAGCTAGTAGGGAAAAGGGAGAATTTTGCCATATTTTTCTTCAGAGTTGTTCTTTTTGGGGGCATCCATCGCCATTCCTTGGAGTCCTCTTCTAAGCCAGGCTTCCTATTACCATTGTATCTTCCACTTATATTCCATCTCATCAGCAATACTTAGCTCCCTATCTACTAATTGATCGGAAGCCAAAAGCTACTGAGAGAAGAATATATAAATATTGCTCCTCAACAACGTCCTGATCTGCACTTGGGCCTTCTGAAGCACATGTCTTTGTCTTTGCTAATTAACCCATTACAGAGTTTTGACTTGATAGGAAAATACAGTGCTTTTTAGTCTTTTCCATATAGGGACATACATAGAAAATGATATTTATATGGCATTGTGGGGCAAGTAGATGAGAATATTTGTATATATAGGCAAATAGTCCAAGGGCTTTATCTAACCCCAGAGTTGGTCTGGCTATATTGAGGGAAGAGGGACAAGTAGCTCAGCTAGCAACTGAGAAACTTTTAAATTAATAGCTAGAGTTTCATGTAGTTTTTCAATCAAAATATGTACACAGGATTCCTACTACTTTGATACTCATTTTTGCTTTTATTCCCATCAAATTAATCCATGGATTGCAGAAATTCAAATAATTATCACAGTTCCTTTTTATACTAGTGGAGTTTTGTAGTGTTTATTAATAAATAATAAAAGCCAAGTAAGACTTTTCTCTGGTCTACAGAAGCTTATGTTTATCTTACTTCTGTACAATTCTCATATTCATTAAACAAGTAAATTCTACCTGTCAAAATCCATAGTGGCTCCTTCTTTTGAGTATTTGAATTTGAACTGGTATATCTCAGTAACATTCTAGAAAAATCAAAGGGAATAAAGAAATTAATTTTAAAAAAGAAATCTAGACTTTACATGATAATAAGGAATATTGTGTAACTATTCTGTACTTCCTGCATACCTGTTTGTCTCACAGGATTATGTAATTCTGAATTAACACTTCTAGATATAACCTTTCTACTTTGTGCTAAAAATCAGTTAGATGGTAAATAATACAATTATCATTAAGGTTGGGGAAAGTAAGGCATAGAGTCAAGTATCTAATCCAACTAGGTAAATAACAATATAACCAATTGAGAAAATATCTTTTTATGTAATAAATACTTTATCAAATTTCTATTTTGTACTAGGAACTCACAAGAGTGAACAAAACAGAAAAGATTCCTGCTTTTCTAGAATTTATTCTCTGATCAGGGATAGTCAATAAGTAAGTTAAAAAAAAAAAAACGAAAAATTTAGATAGGATAAGTGCTGTGAATGATATTAAGAAATGCTGTGATAGAGTACATGAAGGGAAGAAATGCTGATTTGGTTTGGAAGGGCCAAGGAGCCTCCCTGAAAAAGTGATGCTTGAGCTGAGCCTCAAGAGGGACCTGTCAGTTGCAGACCTGGGTGTGCAATGCCCCAGGCAGAGGAAACAGAGGCTGTGAAGTGGTAAGGGATGCCTCATTTAGGATCCAAGAGGAGGCTAAGTAACTAGAGATGAGCAAGCAAGAGAGAGACTATCAGAGGTGAAATTATAGGGGGTCATAGGGCCATGGTAAGGGATTTGGATTTTACACTAAGTAGAAGTCTACTAAAAGGTTTTAGATAAGAGTGAGTTGCATGTTTTAAGCTCCCCCTGACTACCTTGCAGTACTGAGAGAAAACAAAAACCATGAGGGAAGTAAGGAGGCTACTTCAGTAACCTAGAAAGATAATAGCAATTACAGATTAGAAAAAGAAAAAGGATCTAAGTCTTGCTTTTTTACAATCCTGCACTAAAAACTAAATACTACTGCTATCTGTTCTCTTCACCGTTAAGAAAGCTAAAAATAGAGAAATTTCCTCATGAGAGATATTCCACTTAAAATAAAACGCTTATCTACTAGTTGAAGCAAACATTGACCCAGACATATTATACAATCTCTCCACAGAGCTCAAGATTGTACTATAGGCAGATAAAGGGTATGAGTTTTAGTCAGTACACACACATGCACACATGCGCACACATGCACACACACACTCCTTGTTCCTCTGGTTCAGTACTTGATCCATGACAATGTGGGAATAAGAATGTTATATTTATCAGAAAAAAATTTCACTGTTTCTGTTACTTTACAATTTGATCCCCAGCTTCGCTAATCTTGTACCTCAACATACAACTTAATCATATGTGAGGAGGTCCTGGAAAAATTGGCTAATGCTGCTTAAACTCAGGAGACTGATTTATGATGTAGTTAATTTCAAAAGAGAAAAATATTTTGCTAACTTGTCAGTTTATTTGAGAAATCAAATGAAGTTCAGATTTGCGGTTCATAGTTGTTTTGGGAATACAGTAGGAGAGATGGGTAAGATTAGAGGTGCCTACAGCTGCCTAACAACACATTCGCTCCAGACAGGCTAAATACATAGTACCCTCTCTTAGCCAATGCTGAGTATAATTGCTCTATCAATCATATAGTGCCTATTGTTCCTGTCCTTGTTTCTCAGTGAATTCTGTTTCTTGATGCTACGAGCATACATTTTTAAAATAAAAGATACCTTTTAGTAGTTGATAATTTTACTTTTGTTTTATTCCTGACATAACTAGTAAAAAAAAGTTGTTTACAATTGTTTTACAGAAGAGTCTAATTCTTGCTAACTTTAACTGATTTTATCAAAGAAACTATATTTATAGAGGATATCAGTGAATTTTTTATAGCTCTTAAGATATTCTCTCACTTTTCAGGCTATGTTGCCTAACAAAGATGAGACTTTAGGGCCAGGTATTTAGCTCAGGAGGCATAGTTAAGCAGGCCTGCTTAGTAAATGCGAAATCTTGAGTTCGATCCCCAGAACAAAAAAAAAGATGAGCCTTTACGCTATACATTAATGGTTTCTATCAACCATACTGAACCTATTCACATAGACCAAAGCAACAGAAGCATGTGCCACTTTTTCTTTTCCTTCCATATTCCAAAGCACTGATAAAATTTTTCAGATATATCTCCACAGCAAATTGCAAATTCATTGAATATTCATGCTGTATTGTGTAGCCAACAGTTTTGGAAAATACAAATCAGACCATGTCACTCCTTTGCTCTACATACCCCCTCATGGCTGCCCTTAAAAAAAAAATCAGTCACTTTGTCTATAAGGCCCCACTCATCTATCCCTTGCCTACCTCTTCTGACACCTTCCCTCCCATTTACTAAGTGCCAGGTTCACAGAACTTCTCTTTTCCATAAACATTCAAAATTCCTTCCTTTCTTAGGGCATTTGTACAACTATACTCTAGAACATACTTTCTTAGATTGATGATAATAATGATAACACTGAAGTACTCCTCTAAGTGCATTATATCAATTCACGTTTTGCTTAACACTCCAAAGTACTATTATTTTCATTACTATTGAAGCTAGTAAGTGAAAGAGATGAGATTTAAGTCCTATAATGTTAACTGTGGTGTTATTCTGCCTGTCACATGTCATTGTCTTTCCCAGATCTAAAATGCTAACTCTGGTCGGTCATTCAATTTAGTTCAATAAGTAGGGCTGCAGGGAGGCTTTCTATGAACTGCCTATCTAACACTGTCATCTAGTACCTCCTCCATTCTCTACCTCAGCATTTACAAGTACGTTACCTTCTTAAAGTTTTCTTCATAGCTTGATGACTTTCTAAAATTTGTTTTGGCTATTTTTTATTTATTCAATATTTTTTATTCTCCCTCATAAGAATGTAAACTTCTAGAGGCCAGGAACATTGTCTATCCCTAAAGTTTACTCCTACATTTTTATACCTTGAACAATTATAAGCACATAAAAAGGAACTAATTAGTATTTCCTGAGGGAACATCCAGCCAAGTTTCTTCTTTTTTAAAGTCTGTAAAAGCATGTTATGCCTAGAAACATGGATTCCTATGGTTCAGCTCTTTAAGAAGACTATAAAAAGTGAGTGTTGGTACCAGGGATGTAGCTCAGCAGTATTGCACCTACCTAGCAAGTGCAAGTTCTTGTGTTTCAGTCCCAGTTAAAAAAAAAAAGTGGGTATTTAACACCTCCAATAAATACAAAATAGATGATGAAACAATGAGATTTGTGTCCACATGACATTCACAGATAAAGTAATTCTTTAAAATCTATCAAATATAAGGTCTTTTTTTACTATATTAACATTTGGCTAACACATCTTATTAATACCCACCACATACTTGTAGTGTATGCCTATATAATAACTATCACTCATCATAAATTTAGCTGCTTTTGTCCATTTATCTCTTTCAAGAGAGAGCCACTAGAATAAGACTTCAAGTGCAAAAGCACCACAACTTTGTGCAATGCCCAAGACTCTGCTGGCCTCTAAACAGGGCAAGCAGATGTTCTTAACTGTTGTCCCATAACACTTCACAAAACTGCTGCTGGTATAGGAATAAAAGAAATCAAGATGGACTATATGCATATACCAATTTCTTACAGCGAATGTAATCATTATATATGGCAAACAGGAACTAATAAAAATTAAAATTTGAAGAAAAAAGGGTGCTGGAAGTTTTAATCTTAGCACAAAGTATATTTTTGCTTCAGGTAAATATAAACATTGTTATTGTTTATGCAATTTTGTTTAGGAAAGGATATACTTCTAGGGATATGACTCAAATGTCTGGCATAATATCAGATAAGTGCCAAAGACTATGTTTATGTGAGAATGTTGCTTTGTGAGTACATAAGAGAATGCGATTAGGGACTGAACAGATATATATCAGTGACTTAATGCTAAACAGCAGCCATAAAACAGCGCAGTCTTGTGGGTGTTTTTAGGCACTATAAACATTGATTATACCATAATAAATTTATATTGTAAATATTACTCAATATATTGTTCTTCTGAGTTTTTTTCATACTCTCAAATATGCTGCCAAATTTTTTGTAATCAGAAGCATGACATAAACACCAGTGAGTTCAGGCTCACTACTGCAGGAAACAATCTAAAACATTCAAAATATTTTTTTCAGATCATAAATGATAGCTCAGAAGTTACAATTGCTTCTGTTTTCTAACCTCATTATTATATATGCCAGCATCAAGACTCAACAGTTTTCCTCCTACTCTATAAGACTTTTCTGTAAACCCAAATTGCTCAGTATTTCACTACCCCAAAAACCACCTTCAAAGTAGTTTTTCCTGCATACAAAAACATAATAAATACTGCACCAGGAAAAGAGCCAATTTATCAGGAAATTTTAGTTTAAGAAATTTGTCCTCCAATATTCAGGAAAAGGGCATTTTGAGACTAAACATAAGACAATGCTATAGAAAGGTAAAACTAGTTTTGGCATGTTTAGGCTTGCTGCCCACTTGTACACTGGTGTTTTCTCCCTGCTTGCCTGCACAGCTGCAAAGAGGATATTAAGGACTAAAAACAATTTAGTCTTAAACACCACCAGTTGAAATAAATCTATTGGCTTAGAGAAAGAAGATTGAAAGGAAAAATGAAAGAAAGCTGGGAGGAAAACAATGGGAACACAGAACTTTTCCAACTCTGTACCATAACCACAGAAGTCATTCAAAATGGCACAAATAAACTATTAGGTGTCCAGGACTATAATACTAACTTTGGGACATAGAAAACAGGAGAATACCTTTGTCTTCAAGAATTCACAATCTACTTAGGGAAATAAAGTAGTCTAATAAATCACTTGAGTGTGCTAAGTTGTGGAGGGTTTCCTAGAAAAGGAATTAGAAGAAGAGAGAAGTTTAGTGTAGACAGACTAGCTAAAGAGATGTTGATTTAAGATTTAAATATAAATTGACCTTGGAGATGAGTAGGATTCACTATACTAGGGAAAATTCTACAGAGAGAAAGAGAGAAAGGGGAAGAGAAGGAGGGAGGGAGGAAGGCAGGGGAGGGGAGATAAGAGGGAAGTGCAGAGGAGATGTGGGAAGGGGAGGGGAATAAAACTCTGTAAAATCTATGAAAAGGTCAAAGTGAGCAATGTTGTTCTTTCCTGTGGTCCTAGATATTTGGGAGGCTGAAGTAGGAAGATCTCACATTTGAGGACAACTTAGTAACAGTAAGCTTACTCTGAGACAGCAAAGAACTTGTCTTAAAATAAAAAATAGGGGACAGTTGGCTCAATAGAATGTTTGCCTAGCATGTGTGAATATCCATGCTCAATCTCCAGCACTTCCAAAAGAGAAAAAAAGGTCAAAAGGGGACTTACCTCATTTATTTTTCAAAAAATTCATAAACATAAAGAATTCAGAATCAATTACACTGAATGATAAAATGTATATAAAATACTTTTATACCTTAAGAGTCTTAATGTTAACACATTAGGTAAATAGGATCAGTTCTACTCAATACTTTTTTCCTAGTACACCTTAGTTTTTCAAAATTTCAAAAGAAAGGGTTAGTCACATTTATAACCAAATATAATGAAAGAACTCATTGTGATTTACTCTGTTCATAAGGTAGTAACATAATCTATAGCTTCAATTTAGGCAAAAATACTTAAACATAATATACATATACCACCCACCTATATGTGTATCTTCTTACCTCAGGTTCCTTAGGATTTGTATAAAGCTATTTAATAGAAAAAAAAAAAACATTCAATTTTTGAAATTCACTAGATATACTCATGATGTATACTTTCCATATAAAGAATTTAATTTGTGCTCTATTGAGTATTTTGCTGACATACACTTCAAGCTATAGATAGGATATGCTCTTATTTTGTGAACATGGAGTTTTTAGAACATTCCATAAACTCTGAGTATAAGTAAATTATAAGAAATATACGTAAGTATAATTATGGTGACTGAGTTACGAATAATTTATAAATAAATTATGATTTAATTGTTTAAATAAATAAAGTTAGGTTTTTTTCAGCACAGTTGAGAGATAAAGAGAAAAAAAGATATAAAGAGGCCTTTATTGTGGTCCTGGGAGGGCTGCAGAAGAGTGTAAGATCCCTTTAAAAGGGGAGCTGGAAAATAGTTTTTATAGAGTTGGGCTTGGGATGGTGCACTTAGGGGACTACAGAGTTTTGAGATTGAAGAGGGCTCCGCACATGCACAAAAAGGGAGTGGGAGGGTTTTTTTTCTGGAATTAGAACAGTAAAGGAACAGAAGTTACTTTTGGAGAGATAAATTGTTTTTTGGCAGGTGCCCAGATGGGCAGGTGTCATGTTAGAGATAGCTAAGCCCCAGGCTGGCAAAATCTACCAAATAATATATCTAAGATCCTCAGGATCTCTTCATTTTCTTCTATTCTTAACTATATTTACCATGTTATATGTAAGAGCATGCAAAATTTCCCAAAAAACTACAAAATTAATAAAAACACCGGCTTTGTGTCTGTAAAGTGACTAAACATACTGAAAGTGATAAAATACTGAAATCTTGAGAGCCAACACGTGAAGCTCGGCCTAGTGGTACAGGCCCATAATTCCAATACTCTGAAAAGCAGAGGCAGGAAGATTAAAACTTCAAGCTCAGGGGCTGGAGATTTAGCTCAGCGGCATAAGTGTCTGCCTTGCAAGCATGCTGTCATGAATTCAGTCCCTGGTACCGATTTAAAAAAAAAAAAACTTTAAGCTCAGCCTGAGTAATTTAGCAATTTAGTGAGATCCTAGCTCAAAATAAAAAAAAAATTAAAGTGGGCTCAGCATAAAGGCCTTAGGTTTGATCCCTGATATCACAAAAAATAAATTAAAAAAATACTTTTTTTAGATATTGGAGGAAGCATTCTACCACTGAGCTATATCCCTAGCTTTAGATTTTTTTTAAAAAAATCTCCAAACATCATAAGACAGATTAAGAAAAGGAGGAAGGGAATATTTCATGCCAAGTCAATTCAGTCAAGACACAGGCTTGATCTTGCAGTGTATACTTACTATAAGTACTGCCATGTGTAGCTTTGAGAGAAAAGAAAACTATTGTTACTATATATTCCCACTTATATTATTGTTATGTCCAATAGAAGCTAATTAAAATATCATTTCAGAGAGGTTCCAAAGAATTCAGTAAAAAAATATTATTTAGGAAGTCAAAAGAGGGATACTAATTATTCATTCATTCATTCTTTCATTCAAATAATGCCTATTATATTGGGACTCTGTTGGAGAGGAAAAATATATAAAGCAAAAGAAGATAACTACTCCTATTGTCAAAAAGTTATATTTTAATTTTGGAGACAAAAGATATACAGAATAATTCATTATTGTTAAAAATAAAATACACTACAAGTATATCAAAAAATATTCTTTCTGAAACTAATCTACTAAGGCAAAAATCTAATTCTATAAAACCCTCTCCTCTACAAATACACTACTATAAAGACTCTGATTAAAAGAGCAATATAATATATAGACATAGAAATACAATTAAACCTATGATAAGTTTTTTGAAAACCTAGAATACAAATCAAAAAATTTCAGATCCATCATTTCACAGCGAAGGACTAAAACTTTAGTGACACCATGTGGCTATATTGGTTACTGCACATAATTGATTTTAAAATCACACAATGAGACCCTGAAAAAAAATTAGAAATGGACCATCTGAGGAAACAGAAAGACTAGCTTGGAAGATCAACAAAACCAAAAATAGCACAGATAACTACCTCATTCAAGTCATGTTAATGGCTATGAAGAGGCAGATAGGTGCTAACACCAAATAAAAGAGCAATATAGGCTGAGAAAGGAGGGTGTTGAGGAAGGACTCCCTGAGCTGAGACCCCAGGGATAAACTGAAGTTAGTTATGCAAAGTATATGTGTCAGGGAGAAATTTTTCCAAGCAAAAGGAACAATATGCACAAAGGTAAAAAGAATTTGGGATGTTCTAGAATCTATGTAGCCTGAACATGGGAATGAGAATAATGCCTTGGAAGCCAGACAGGGATTATTCAGGCCCAGAAGATCATATGAAAGACTCCAAACTTCATTCTTAAAGCCCTGGAGTTTTTTAGGCAAAAGAATGTCGTGATCACACTGAAGTTTCTAAAAGAATGGAGTGGGGACAGTGGGGTTAGAATGATGAGGGACTGAGAGTGGAAATGAGACGTTAGGTAACTATAACACAGTATATTTGTGTAATAATTATCTAAAAACTATATAACATACTTAAAGAATTCAAGGATAACATAAAGTACAAGAAAATAATATAAAAATCAACCAAAATTTCATAACTAGAAATAATCAACAAAACATATTTCAAGATCTCTAGATGCTCAAACATGACTTTACTTAAACTATTTTTAAAACACTGTTTTCTACTAGCAAAAAGATCACCTGCAAAAATTTATATTAACAACTCAAAAAGAGTCTAACTCATATATCTAAGGTTTTTTCTTTTGATCTTCCCCAAATAGTTAATTTGAATCAGTCACACAGGTAGTCATATAGTACAAAATAAGTTCATAAAACAAGTTAAAACACTCTTTGTTACACTGCTCTTCTATACATTTAATACTGTTATATGTATTTATTTTACTTTTTCTGCTAAACTAATATCTTCTTTTTTTAATTTTATTTAAAGAAAGACTAAACAAAACAGAAAATGGGTAGAAATAATACATACGTTCATAGAAAAACAGGAATCATTAGTTAATGTTTACATACTGTCCTTTTACAAATAGTTGTTCAAGATACAAAAGTGGCACATATAAAGTGGGAATTCAAAACAGCAAGACTGCAAACAGTTCTTTTCAACTGTCCAACAAAAATTTAGTAATACAGTTGTCAATTCTATACACTTAAACATACATGCAGGTATTCATATCTTCAATTATGTTGAGATTGAACAAACCCAAGCCATCTAATATCACTCTGAACAAATACTACTACTACTGCTGGGTGTCACATTATGACACTCCAGGACTGGGTACTTTAGTGTCTCTTTTTCTTCAAAGTAACTGATACCTTTTTAAGAGAATCACATCTTTAGGCTCATTTTTTATCTCATCCAGTGATTGCGTACAGTGTCTGGCCATTAGCCAATGGAAACTAATAAATAAATGTGTATACATAGTGTTTATTATAAGCCAAGCATTGTTCTTTCTGAGTATTTCAGATTAGTGGTTCTCAAAATATTGGCCTTAGACCAACAGTAAGAGCATCATTTGAAATTTGTCTGAAGTACAAATCCTTATAACAGAAATTTAAAGATGAAGTTTAGCAATCTGTACTTGACAAATCCTCTAGGTAATTCAGATAAAAGCTAAAGTTTGAGAATCACTATAGTTTTTAATTATTTACTCGCTTAATTCTCAAATAATTCTAAAAGATAGGTTCTATTATTGATTTTATATGTAGAGAAATAAAGGTACTGAGAGCTAGATTACTTGCCCAAAATTACTCAGGTATTAAGTGACAGAACTAGGATTCATCTCAGGCTCTGTATGTGACTAAAACTGAGTTTAACTATATGGCACTGTCCTTCACTGATCAACACCCAGGAAACATTACTAAATGAATGGCTGAAGGAGAATGAAGGAGTATTGTTTGGTATGTCAGTGATGATCTGTTCCCTTTCTCAACCAGTCTAAATATTCAGGTTCTTTAAAGTTCAAAATCATTTTCTCTCAAAAATTTCCTTCATGTCCACAATTATAACCCCTCATTTTCCATACTTTCTACTATACATGATCAGTATTTTTCTTTTGATATGTATTCTTTCTATGGTTGCTTATATTTGTGATAGGGATAATAGTAAAAATATATCTGGTACTTTTACATAAAAATATCAAGTGATATGAAAAAATCAATAAAACCTGGTGTGGCACAGGTAATGACTGCTCAGAAATTATCCAATGTAACCCTGGAGCTGGATTTCTGGAAACAGCTCTTAAACTAGGTACTAACCTTTAGTTGCTGGGCTTTGGAAACATTTAGGGATATCTCAAAAGAGACATTGATGGATGCTGGTGAGGTTTCACATAGGGCTTCAAAAACAGCTGCTGTTTACCCTTAGTACAGAAGGAATGCCAGTGCTTTACCAACAGGTAGTTAGGCCAGTGTACAGGCACTGATCATCAGCCCTGCTTCTGAGCATTTATCTTCTACCATGGTCTATAAGGTTTTTCCCACATCTGATTTATCTTTGTATCCCTTTATTTCCTAGGTCAGTATTGAATAAATCATAACTGTCTGTTTACTGTTCTGCGAAGAGATGAAATGTAAGAGTGCACTAAATAATACAGTGTAAGGCATGCTTATCTCAAGATTTCTTAAAGAAATAGGCATTGAAAAGGAAAAGGAAGACAGTGAAAATGAGGGAAAACCATGATAAAAATTTCACTTCTACACATTTTGTCTCTTTGACTATAACTAGATCCTCCATTTTTTATACTCTTCATAACTGCTTGGAAGTGTGAAAGATCAGATGGACTTAAAATTTAAACTGAGCTTTTTATAAAAATTCAAAATATAATACCATTTTGAGAGCACAGGTTATGCACACGAACCAAACATAGTTACCAAAATAAGGTAGAATAAAAATTACTCAAGTTGTTTTTCCTTTCATGTCTTCAAACTGCACTGCCACTATTTTGAACATGTTCAATGTGCTAAATGTCACATTTTTGTCTCCCCATCCCGTATCTGTGGATCTCTTCCAGTGACTTCAGCGGAAATTCTGTGGTCACACAGATGAGAGTATGTAAACAAAAAAAGGGTTTCACTTCTAAAGAGGTTATCAATGCAACAACAATGACATAAAATACAGGGAAATTGGTTCATGAATATAAATACAGGTACTAGTACATCATTAAACACAAAAAGAATCTAAACTCTTTTAAGAGATAAAAGATGAATCTTTAATCCTGGCATAAATTTGAAAAAAAAATTCTTACATATTTCTTTTCCAAAGCATGAAAACAACCTTGAATCCTGTCAAAAAAATAAAGACTTAATGTCAATTTGGACCCATGCAAAACCAAAAAACTTCCAGCACATAATTAGTTTATACTTTTGGCTTTAAAGTATATGTAACTGGTAACGTTTAACCTTCCCCTTTCCATTTTATCATTTTTAATAAACCCTCAATATTTTTAGTACATTTATAGAACTTTATAAACAATAAGCAAATTTCAGGGAGGGAACCATTTTTTATTTGTCTCCTATAAAGTTTAGTATACTGACATACATATAACAAATAATGAACTTTGATTTGTTTTTAAATAGTGGGGATTGAACCTAGGACTTGGTATATGCTAAGGCAAGTGTTCTACCACTGAGTTACCCAGCCCTTCCTTTCTCTCTCTCAATCTCTCTCTCTCTCTCTTTCTCTCTTTATTTTTGAAAGAGGATCATAATAAATTGCCTAGGGGCTATGGATTTAGTTCAGTGGCTCATGCCTTTGCCTGGTAAGTGTGAGGTCCTGAGTTTGATTCCCTGTTTACCAAATAGATAGATAAATAAATAAATAAATAGACTAGGTTGGCCTCAAATTTGTGGTCTTCTGCCTCAGCTTTCTGAGTAGCTGGAATTACAAGAATCCACATCACTCCCTGCTTAATTTTTTTCTTTATATCAGTTCATTTTCTTTTGAAATCAAAACTAAATCCATGTCTTAGAATATTACTAAATAATTCCTACAAATTTCAAGGAAATTTTAAAAAGAGAATGTGGTCTTAAGGAAATGATCTTTTCAAATAAAGTTTTATAAGTAATTTCAGCCACAATAAAAATGTTCAACTTTTGTGGAATTTCAGTAACTTACCATTTAATAATATGCAGTGACCCAGGACATTTTTTGTCTTCTCGGAGGATTTTTAAACTGAAATCTACAAAAAATAGAAATACAGTCTATTTTCATCTACAAAATACTACTCCACTAAAAATATCCATGCTAAACAGGATATTTCTTTTAGCTATTTTCTTACATAACTTACTTAGTTTTGTGGCTTTTGAGGCAGTGGGGTACTAGGAATTGAACTCAGGACCTCACACTTGCCAGGAAGGCACTTATGTCAAATGAGCTATATCCCTGGGCTCAGTTTTATGGCTTATAAAATCAGTTGTAGTATCTACCTACTTTAAAAATAAATCCTGGGCTGGGGATATAGCTCAGTGGCACAGTGCCTGCCTGGTAAGAGCAAGGCCCTGAGTTTGATTCCCGGTATGGGACAGAAAGTGGAGGAGAGGTGAAATCCTATGTTGATAATCATCTTAGTCATGAGCCAGGATAGAGAAAACAAAGATAGATAGAAAGGAGACAAGAAAAGTAGTTTTAAGTCATGTCAAAGTTATCCAAGGTTATCTATACCCTTTACCCCTATGTTTGTTTCTTCCAGGCATATCACACCCAAATCCCTTAAAGATACTGAAAATCCATAAATTAACCTAGTTGATAAAGAAAAGGGCAATAACTTTACCTAATGATAAACAAATGCAAACAATTCAAAGAATGTTTTTAGGTAAAACATTTTAGGTCATTCATCTTAATAAAGGGTACTGCCAAGATCATATATATATCCTCAACCCTAGAAAAGGTATTTTATGTTTGAGCACCTGTACTCTATTTTGGCTCTCAATGTGTATGTCACTTCTGCTTAATGAATCCATCCATGCCTCTTACTGACATGTCCTGGGAGTACTTTTTTGCAATAAGGATATGTCTGGATGAGTTGAGGTTCTCATCTTCCCTTTGAAGAGCCTCCTTGGACTCTGTCCAGTCACAACTCCAATTTTAAAAACAGTTTGTCAGTCTTCTCTATACACAGTGTAGCGCAACTGAGGTTCAAGAAAAATCAATTTGTGTCACTTTGCTTCTTTTCACTTCTTTCTGTTCTTGTTTTAGTGTGTATGTGTGTGGTTTGGTTGGTTTTTTTGTGAGTGAGTGTGTGTGTGTGTGTGTGTGTGTGTCTTTTAGAGACAGGGTCTCTCTATGCAGGCTGCCGTAAGCTCACTTTGTAGCCTAGGCTGGTCTCGAACTCAGATCCTCTAGCCTCAGCCTCCTGAGTGCTAGGATTACAGGCGTGAGCCACCACAGTCGGCTCTTCTTTTCACTTCTAAGCAATCATAAAATAGCATTGAGGCTCCACTGACCAATTTATTTTTTTTAAAGAAAAACTAACAATAACAGCATTTTTATGGTGCATTTTAAAGTACAGACTTTGAGAAGGAGACATGTCTTCCATTCTGTCACAAAAAAATAAAAGCTATAAAGTATGACTTTTCCCCTATGTTTAGAGCAGCGAGTGACATAAAGTAAGGGCTTAGTTACCCAAAACATACCTTCTACAATTCTACATTCCAAACAAAAAGGAAACAACATGAAATACAGAGATGAAAAATGAAAATTAGTTCTGAGAAATAATATAAGGAAACTTGTGGCTGTTTATACTTTCCAAGTGAAGTTTGCTATTATAGTGACAAATCAACAATAATCACAGTGCAGCTTTTCAAACAAATAGTAAAATTTTGAAAAATTGAAGAATCCCAGGTAAATGTTTTTAATACAAAGGAGAAAAAGGAGCCTAAAACAGCTTCTAATATAAGGTAGTAAGATGGTACATTTAAGGGCACAAGAAACAAAAGAAGTAAAATTAGAATACCTGGTAATCCAGAAAAGAACCAAACTGATTAGAATATACATACTAATTGACAAATGGGTTTGCCTTTTTTTTCCCAACGTATTTACATAAGTTAATAGAAGAGTTTTACACTTGGTTCCTTTGAGCTTCTTCAATGCCAAAATATGCTTCAAAGAGCAAATTCAGTAGAGGCACAAAATAGTGTAAATCTTCAACTTTTAAATAGATTTTGTTGTAGCTATCACTTTTATAGGGATACCATAGAATTATTAGTCTTGTCCCTATAGATTATTTTTCTCATTTGCCATCTAGCCAGAAGTTAATAGTTTCTAGAATTAAAATCACTAAACATACTGCAATTAAAATGGAAAATGGATTAACACATTGGTCTTGAAGAACTGATCCATCAATTAGTATACTCTGTAAGAAATGAAAGATTTACTCCTATTAAATAAAGAAAAGGGCTACAATAGTTAAAGCAAACACTTAATTAAACTTTACCATCCAAATGACGTTCTCCATAAGAGCTCTCTGGAAACAGGCCCCTTAGATATGTTATACATGAGATAGATGTAGCAAAAAGTTTCTTCACCATTATCAATGATTCATGTTCATTAGTGATCTGGGATGGGAAAACTGTTCCCTAGGAGAAACAAAGGCAAAAAGATTAATATTTTTTAATATATTCATCATATCACACTATCACCACAGATAGGATTTTTCAACATTTTGAATTTGATACCTTTATAGGTAATCAAAAGGAAATGGAGCTTTAAATGTTCCATTTCAGTATATCTTCACAGGTAAGGTGGAGTAGAAAGGCAAGGACAATGATTATATAATCAGGTGTACTATGATTATCTAATCTCCTTTCTTCTCATATACTCCTAGACTTCACACAGTATGGCTTTTACAGATCTCCATTTTACATTGCTCTGTCCAGTACTAAGCACACCCTATCATTGCCTCTTCTCCTTCTTCATTAATGTGTAACTTTTTTTCAGCATTTGACACTGTTGCCTACACAACCTTTTTTCTTCTCCCTCAAACTTTCATAACACTATTGATGAGATAAATATCAATATCCAAAACTTAAAGAAGAGGCTTTGCAAAGGAAACAATGCCCATGTCATGATGGTCGGGATGCAGGAAATGAAGGTACAACCTTGGGAGAGAGACATATCCTTCTAGGTTATGCCTCAGTGAACCACATCTTCAGACTAAGCCTCACTGCCCAACACCAAGCCAGCTCTAGAGCTTCCATAATTCAATCACTGTCCAAAAGCTCTCCCTGTGACCACCTTAAGGCTCGGGGGGCACATCTAGATGTAACCCATAACAAGTATTTTATTTTATTGTTGCTTTCGTGGTGCTGTGGATCAAATCCAAGACATATTAGGCCACTGAGCCACACCTCCAGCCCACTGTTTTGGTTTCCACTATCCCTACATGCCTACCTCAATCTCTTATTTTTTTTTCCAGTTGTTCTGTCCTTTAAATGTTGATCTTTCCCCAGGATTCTGCCTTTGGTCCTTTTCTCTTAGTTCTGTGACACTTCACAGTAAAAGCCCATCCAAGTGACCAATAAACATAAAAGAAAGTGCTTGAACTTCATCAGAGAAATGTATACTAAAATCATAATGAGAAGCCAAGCATGGAGGCACATGACTGATATCCCAGCACTCAAGAAATAGAGACAGGAAGATCATTGAGTTCAAGGCCACCCTGACTACATAGCAAGTTCAAGTTCAGTTTGGAATACACAGTAAGTCTTTGTCTCATAAATAAATAAATAACCACAGTGAGAAACTGGAAGTCCTGGCACACGTCTAGAACACAGCACTCTGAGAGGGTGAGGCAGGAGGATTGTAAATTTGATTCCAGCAGGGGTACCTTAGCAATTTGGTGACAGCTTGCCTCAAATAGAAAGAAAGGGCTAAGATATAGTTCAATGTGAAGGGCCGGGTTCAAACTTCAGTACCATACACAAAAAAATTAATTAAATACAATTTATTTTAAATCACAGTGAAAAGGTACTACGTGACCACCCAAACTGCTAAAACCAGAAAATAAGGAAAGTTGACAAGGATCTGAAACAATAAAAACTATTAAACACTGATTGTAGGAATGTAAATGAGTCAGCGATTTCTGAAAACTGCTTGGCAGTGTTTTATATATATATATTTATACACACATACATATTCTATACGCCATATTCCACTTGTAAGTATACATCTAACATTTACACTTGTATGTCAATTAAGTGATATATATTAGTACGTCCATAACAGCATATTTGTAACTGTATTTTCTAACTAGAAACTACTCAAATGCTAATCAGTAGTATAATAGATAAACAAACTAGGTATACTCCCCCAGTGAAATACTATATGACAGTAAGAATAAATGATCTATAAATATACTTAACAATATAAATTACTTTCACACATAATGCTGAACCACACACACACACACAAAAAAAAAAACAGATATAAATGAATACTAATGAAGCTAAGGATTTAGCTCAGTGGCACAAATGCCTGCCTGGCAAGTGCAAGGTCATGAGCTCAATCCCCAATACCAAAAAATAAAATAAAATAAAATTTTAAAATGAACACTAACATATTATTTCATTCATATAAAATATAAAACCTGATGAAACTACTACACATGTTAGAAATCAAGCTGGTGATTTCTTTTGGTGGGGCAAGCGGATAATGACTAGAAAGGAACATGAGACCAGGCATTGATTTTTTTTTTTTTTAATCTAGCTTCTGGTTACAAGAACATATTCAGGTTGTAAAAATTCATTTAGTCATATACTTATACACATTTTATAAACATAGAGTTTTATAGAAAAATGTAAGGTTTGTTCAAATAAGTTTGGAAAAATGTTATCTCAGTTCTTTTGGTCAGGAATATTCTCATTCTATTGCCTAAATATATATTTAATCTCATTATATTCCAGGTGCTTTTTTAGGTTCAGAGATACCAGAGAAATCATAACAGATAAAAATCTTCTCCCTCAAAAAACTTGCATTTAAGTGTCAACTTTAGTTTAACAATTCCCCAGTCTCTTCAAGGCAGAAGTAATTACTTCCTCTTCTGTTTCACTGTTGCTATCTACTACAAGAATGACTGCTTACTACCACGTAGTACAGTCTTTAAAGGTAAAGTGCTATCTCTTATTAAAATAAATAATTGTTAATTCACTATATAACAGTACTTGGCATACAAAAGTCAATAAACAAATACTTAATGAACTAAACAAATTGACTGTCAATGTATTTTAGCATGTTGAGAATGTAAAGAAATCAAAAGATCAGCCACATAGGAAATGAATCCTACTAAAGTGTGTAGAAAAAAGAAAAGCTTACATCTACCAAATTTTGTAAATATTTATGATTTGTTCGTTTGGTTTATTCTTGTTTTGGCAGTACTGGGGATTGAACCCAGGGCCTTTGTACTGCATTACATCCCCAGCTCTTTTTTTTTAAATTGCTATATTGCCTGGGCTGGGTTTGAACTCACAATCTTAGCCTCCCAAAGTTCTGGGATTACAGGTGTGTACCACTGCACCCAGCCTAATATTTTGTTTTCTAGTATATTTATTATCAATTGATGCATAATAGTTATACATATTAATGAGGCAAAGGATGTCTTCTTTTATTCTGGCCCAAGCCATTGAACCTACGGCTCATACACGCCTCAACTACTGAGCTATATCCTAGCCCAAAGTGTGACATTTTAATACATGAACACAATGTGCAATGATCAGATTAAGATAACTGTTATATTTTTCACCTCAGACATTTATCATTTCTTTGGTAGGGACATTCAAAAATCCTACTAGCTATTCTGAAATTATCAAATAATTTTTCTCAACTATAGTCATCCCACGTGCCATAGAACAATTAGAAGTTATCCCTCAATAACCCTGTACTTATCAGCCATCCTTTCTCCATCCCTCCCTCCCCAACACCCTTCCCAGAATATTTAAGAGGAAAAAAGAGCAACTTTCCTAGAAAAGTAAATAGAATGACTTTATTTTGTAAAGCAAATCAATTGATAAATTAATTTTTTAGGCAGATACAGCTAATCTTCACTGTTAACTACATTCTACATTTGTGAATTTGCTCTTTTACTAAAGTTTATTTATAATCCCAAAATTGACATTCTTATGTTTTTGCAGTCACTCAGACACATGTATAGATTAATAACATACTGGAGTCATCTGAAATACATGGTCCCATATTTACAGCATAACATCTGAAAGACATGTGACAAGGCAGAGGAATGTCACTATTTTCAATTATTATACTGTAAACATGTGTTCTTTTCTTAGTCTATTCAGTGCCTTTTTTTTGTTTTACATTTGTACGCTTTCTTTTGTGGTTTTGCTATTTGAAATGTCACTGAGCATAGTGATGAAATGCTGGTTAGTGTTCTTAAGTTCAAGACTGTAATACACTTTAGAAAGAAAACACATGGACTTCTGGGAGAACATGGCAGACAGATAGCAGCAGCTACAGAGGCTCTCTGAAACACCCAGCTTAGAATTCAGGAATGGTGCTGAGTAAGGAATCATAAGCAGGAGGAGATATGCCCCGGTGACCCAAGAACTGGGCTGAGAGAAACCAACTGGGAATGCAATCCTGGTGCTATAATAGGAACAGATAAAGCCTCAGCGTGGAAGCTGGAGCCCGTGCCATTGGAAGCCGTGATTTGGGTTTCCCGTAGCCTCCGCTGTGTCTGCATCGGCAGGGAGAGAGACGCGCGGAAGCTCTGAGAACGGGAATCGGTGAACAGAGTTGAGAGCGAGACGGGCGGGGAGCCGTGCATCCACCTCCGGTGAGTGAGGGAAAACTGGGACTCTGCATTGGTCCAGGAGACTCCAACAGAGGACATTCTGGGACCGGGCAGACTTGCGGGAACAGGGCGCTGCAGTGACTTCAGTCACCAATCCACCTCTCAAGCAGGATTGGTGAGCAGTGCCTAGCCCACCTGACGCTGCTGGCTGAGATCCAGTAGGCTAGCACAGCCCAGGTCCCAGCTCCTGAAGGTAGATTGACCTGGAGTGGTGGGCCCCACATACACTGCCTGGTCTGCAACTTCCTGGTGCGCTGCGGTGGTGGGAACACCTAGCCGGCGCAATTCAATCAGACTGTGGCTGACAGGGAAGGAAGCTGGGCCTCCTATATACGCTTGCATATATAAGGAACAAAGAATATGGGAAGAGGCAGCAACAAGAAAGGGTCCTCGGCCCCCAGTCCTGAGAAAGAGGCAACAGCAGACACAGCACCAATAGACATAAAGCGCTATCTCGAGAGCCTCATAGACAAGTTCAGGAATGAAGTTATTAATGACCTGAAGCTAGACATAAGCAGAATAGTCAGAGAAATGCTAAGCACCACCCAAGAAAAAACAGGTGGTGGAATGGAAGAACAGAAAAAGAGGGGAGAATTGTTTAATGGAGAAAATAGAGAAAGCATAGAATACGTGAAGCAGGTCCAAAGAGACTACCAGGAAACTAAAAAGTCTATCGAAAACTGGCATAACATCTTGAAAGAAACTAAGGACAGATTATCTGAACTGGAGGGCAGATTTGTAATATAGGAGCATGAAATGAAAAACTTCTTAAAA